GCACAGCACAGCACAGCCTGCACAGCACAGCCTGCACAGCACAGCCTGCACAGCACAGCCTGCACAGCACAGCCTGCACAGCACAGCCTGCACAGCACAGCCTGCACAGCACAGCCTGCACAGCACAGCCTGCACAGCACAGCCTGCACAGCACAGCCTGCACAGCACAGCCTGCACAGCACAGCCTGCACAGCACAGCCTGCACAGCACAGCCTGCACAGCACAGCCTGCACAGCACAGCCTGCACAGCACAGCCTGCACAGCACAGCCTGCACAGCACAGCCTGCACAGCACAGCCTGCACAGCACAGCCTGCACAGCACAGCCTGCACAGCACAGCCTGCACAGCACAGCCTGCACAGCACAGCCTGCACAGCACAGCCTGCACAGCACAGCCTGCACAGCACAGCCTGCACAGCACAGCCTGCACAGCACAGCCTGCACAGCACAGCCTGCACAGCACAGCCTGCACAGCACAGCCTGCACAGCACAGCCTGCACAGCACAGCCTGCACAGCACAGCCTGCACAGCACAGCCTGCACAGCACAGCCTGCACAGCACAGCCTGCACAGCACAGCCTGCACAGCACAGCCTGCACAGCACAGCCTGCACAGCACAGCCTGCACAGCACAGCCTGCACAGCACAGCCTGCACAGACAGCACAGCCTGCACAGCACAGCACAGCACAGCCTGCACAGCACAGCCTACACAGCACAGCACAGCACAGCCTGCACAGCCTGCTCACTCATCCCAGTATTTAGCCTCACCCCGTGGCCTGCAAGAAAATTCCACGCAGGTAGACATGGATTTATAAAAAACTACTCTTTTGCCAGCACCTGCAACCCGATGTCACAGTCATTGTGGAAGCTTGCTTTTCCCATGGAACCGGAGTCCTAGCCTCTGGAATGTGAATAAAATCTGCAGAGGCAGCTCCAAAATATTTAGCTTTCAGTGTGACCACGCGTGCAGACGCTCAGCACGCAGGCTGCAGCTTCCCCTGCACATCATGCCTCTTCTTTTCCTCGTTAGTGAGAAACACCACTCTCAAGCCCGACATCCTGGAGCCGGTCAAGGACACCCTGGAAGTGGAGCTTGGTAAGACGGGCTGCCTGTCACCCTGGGCAGAGATTGGGATTCTGGGAGCATGTCCAAGTGTGATGTGATATAAGGAAAAGAGAATCGGATTCAAGCCAAATAGAATTGGATGTGGATCTGGACTCAGCCGCTGACTGGCACTGTCTCCTCATACAGTCACTTAACCTGTTTCAGCTTTTAAGTCTGTAAATAGGCAAAACTGAACTGACCTCCCAAGGTCACACTGAGCAATCTGGCCTGGCGTCCGTTCAGTGGCTGAGCATTTGACATGATCAATAGGGTCACACTCTTTCTTACCCAGGAACAGCTACGTGTATAGTAGGCGCATCGGCTTAGTGAAGTCTATAAATATAACCAATTTACCAACTTGAGTAGCATTAACCTTTAAAAAATAGGTGATTGTCTGGCCCTTGAGGTAACTGTAGGAGAATGTTACCATCCCTGATCACTTAATGTGTTTCCCAAAGTGGTGTTTCCTTTTGGGCTGAAGGGCCAATGGCTTTTCTACGTCCATTTTATTCGTCAGCTTCACTAGCATCTACATCTCACCAAACAGGCAACTACGAGCTGCACTGTTTAAAACCAAGTACTGGTGGCTTCAACAAAATAATTATTATTTAAAATATGAACTGTTTCTAATAGAAATGTGAAAACAAATGCTGTATTCTGGCAAGAGACCGCTAGGTGAGGTATCAGTATATCCTGATGATAGGAATCGCAATATGGGCAACAACACAAGAATGGAAGGACAAAAGAAAGAACAAAAATTATGTAATTAAAAAATAACAAAGTCACATATGGTGCCAGCGAATTTAAAGTATGGCTAGGAGAGAAACATTCGTAAGGTGCAAGGATGAGTTTTCAAATGGAGTCTCTGCGAGCCTCATGGTTAGGATACTGAGGCCGAGGCAGAGCGAACGGGGTAGCTCTCAGGAGAAAGTGGGGAGTCAGGCTCGTGTGATCACATCCGTGCACATCCATCGTGCGCGGACCACAGCAGTGCAATGTCTGAATAGTGTCTTTGAACGACGTGCACAGTCAGCTCCTGCCGTTTGCTGAGCATGTAAATGCTGGTTAGAGAGATGCCCTTCGCCTTTCCCTCAGCTCCGCACTGGAGCCCGAGCCAGTGCTCACACTTCACGTTTTCCTCTGTTCTCTCAAACCACACGGGGACCCCAGTGCTCTGACCAAACCAGCCCTCATTTTAAAAAAGCACAGTTGTTTTTAAAGTGCATGGACCTGGAGAGGATGACGCTAAGTGAAGTAAGCCAGTCAGAAGACGAACACCTTATGATCTCACTCATGTGTGGAATCTAATGAGCAAAATAAACTGATGAACAAAATGGAAGCACAGAACAGACCAACTGAGGTCAGGGCATGTGAAGAGAGTAGCCAAAAAGCACCCATATGGTAGCCATAGGCACAGACAACGGAGGGGGAAGGCCTGTGAGGGGTGCTGGGAGCTGGTGCCAGTGGGCAAAGGTGGGGTGGGGAGAAATGGGGAACGGTGTCAACAATAAAAAAGAAATAAAAATAGACAAATAAAAATTTAAAAAATAAATAAGGAAGGAATTTGGTTCTGATAATGCCCTTTTGAAAAATAGCTGATACTGGAGACTAGAAGATGGCGGCTGGCAGGACGGAGGTGAGGGAGAGGAAGTGAGTGAGTGAGGGGGTGAAAGGGGAGTGTGTGGTGTGTGTGTGAGTGAGTGAGGGTTAAATCCGGCAGGAACAGCAGGGGCTGGCGGACCAGGCTCTCTGGGACAAGGAGAGACTCCACCGCTTCGGGCATCCCCTGCACTGCGGGGCTCGGGCATGGAGCCCACGCCATCTTGAAGGGGAGAGAGGCCTCTTCTAGGAACTCATCAGCACCACCACCCAGACAGTGGCCCGCGACCTGGCAGCCACTCCAGCCAAAATCCTGCTGCCCCACCCACGACCTGCAGACCCTGGGACCTCCACCTCCAAAGGTGCACCTCTCCCGCAGCAGTAAGTGCAGCCTCCCCCTCCCCAGTGGCAAACCTCCAGACACCACATTCACGCGTTTCCAGCACGCAGGCCTCTGAGCCCACCGCTCCACAGGCCGCTCTTGGATGCCGCTGTGAACCCCTGCTGGGTGTGATTTTGAACAGACAAGGATGCACTGCCCTGCAGTAGAAATTCTGAATTCCCTCTTCCTGAATAACTGCCACAGACAACCCAGCTGCACATCTTTAGCACCAGGGCCCTCAGAGTGCGTCAGAGCTCTGCACCGGCAAAGGCACTGCCACAGTCACGCATTTCCAAGGAGCAGGCACCCAGAGCCCATCTATCCACAGGGCACTCATGGGAGCCCCTGCGAGCCCCCACTAGGTGCAATCTTGGACAAACAGGGACACACTCCCACCCACCTCCCTACCCCCAGCAGTAGAAATTCTGAATTCACTCATCCTGGATACCTGCCTACAGATGCCTCAATTATGTGGCTTCAGTGCCAGGGCCCTTCAGAGTGCTTCAGTACACCACGCTGGCAAACGCACCGCTGGTGCCCCTGTGAGCTTCCACTGGGAGCGCACACTTATCCACCACAGGTGCAGCAGCAAAAACTGAGTCTGCCCACCCCACAGCTGCAGAACTCTGGACACTACAGTTGCATGGTTTTCCAGCGCGCAAGCCTCCCAAGCCCACCGTGGCACAGGCAGCCCTTGGGTGCCTCTGTGAGCCCCCACTGGGCATGCATTTATGCAAACAGGTGTGCACTGCTGGGCTGTAGAAATGCTGAATTCCCTCTTCTGGGATACCTGCCCACAGACACCGCAATTCTGTGGCTTCAGCGCCAAGGCCCTTCAGAGTATGTCAGTACACCCTGCTGGCAAATGCACCGTGGGTGCTCTGTGAGCCGCCACTGGGGGCATATGTATCCAACCACAGAAGCAGCAGCAAAAGCTGAGTCTGTCCACCCCACAACTACAGAATTCTGGACACCATAGTCATGCCTTTCCAGAGCGCAGACCTCCTGAGCCCCATCACCCCAACAGACAGTTCCTGGGTGCCACTGTGAATCCCCATTGGGCACGCACAACTTCAACCAAGAGCATGAGACAGCAAAAATTGGGACACCCCCCTCCACAGCTGCCTCTGATTTCTAGACACTGCAGTTGTGCCTTTCCAGCTCACAGGCCTACATCAAGGGAACCCAAATAGCTCAAGTAGGGAGCTACACTAGACTACCAAGCCCAGGAGACCTGAGAGGTCACACCAGTAGCACCACACCCAAAAGAACCTGGGTAGCAAAGCAATCGGAGGCACAATGAAAACATTACAGCAAAACATGGGAAGACAAAAAATCAATCTCCAAAGGAAAGAAAAAGAAGAATCACCAGAAAGGGAGTTAAATGAAACTGAGGCTAGCAACATATCAGAGAAAGAATTCAGAGTAATAGTTATAAGGATGCTCAAACGGCTGGATGACAAATACACACAACTCAATGAGAATTATAAAGAGTGAATGAGAATGTCACCAACATGAAAAGGAACCAAGAGGAGATGAAGAATGACATAGTTGCAATAAAGAACACAATGGAAGGCTTAAACAGTAGACTACAAGAGGTTGAGGACCACATCAGCGAATTAGAAGACAAGGTAAGAAAAAACACACAAGCACAGCAGCAACTGGAAAGAAGATTTAAAAAGCAAGAGGAGAGCCTAAGGGAGCTTTGGGACAACACAAAACGCAACAATATGTTCATAATAGGGGCACCAGGAGAGGAAGAGAAGCAAGGAATACAAAACCTGTTTGAAGAAATAATGACAGAAAACTTCCCTGATATTGGCAAGAAAAAAACTATGCAAGTCCAAGAAGCATGTAGAGTCCCCAACAAGATGAACCCCAAAAGACCAACACCAAGACACATCATAATTAAATTGGCAAACACCCACGACAAAGTAAGAATCTTAAATGCTGCCAGAGAGAGACATAAAATTACTTACAAGGGAGCCCCTATTAGAATATCAACTGATTTTTCAACAGAAACACACCAGGCCAGAAGGGAATGGAATGAAATATACAAAGGGATGCAAAGCAAGGGACTGAATCAAAGAATACTATACCCAGCAAGGCTGTCATTCAAAATTGAAGGTGGAATCAGGAGCTTCACAGACAAAAAAGGGATAAGAGAGTTTATTACCACCAAACCAGCAATGCAAGAAATGCTAAAGGGACTGCTGTAAAAAGAAGAAACAGAAAGGCAAGAAGAAACACAAACATTAAGACTAAAAATTACAACAAACAAGTACGTAACTGGATTAAATGCACCAATCAAAAGACATAGGGTAGCTGAATGGATAAGAAAACATGACCCATATATTTGTTGTCTGCAAGAGACCCACCTCAGAACAAAGGATTCACACAGAGTGATAGTGAATGGATGGAAAAAAAATTTCAGGCAAATGGAAATGAGAAAAAAGCTGGGGTTGCGATACTTATAACTGACAAAATAGACCTCAAAGTAAAGGCTATAACAAGAGATAAGGAAGGCCACTACATAATACTAAAGGGAGCAATTCAACAAAAAGATATAACTCTGGTAAACATACATGCACCCAATACAGGAGCACCCAAATACATAAAACAACTTCTGGAAGATTTCAAGGGAGAGATTGATAGCAATACAGTCATAGTAGGGGACTTTAATACCCCACTGACACCACTGGATAAATCCTCTAAACAAAAAATCAGCAAAAAAAACAGCAATCCTAAATGACTCTCTAGATCAGATGGACTTAATGGACATCTTCAGAATATTTCACCCCAAAGCTACAGAATATACATTCTTCTCCAATGCACATGGGACATTTTCAAAGATAGACCACATATTAGGCCACAGGCAAAGTCTCTTCAAATTCAAGAGGATAGAAATCATAACAAGCATCTTCTCAAATCACAATGGCATAAAACTAGAAATCAACTACAATAAAAACAATGAAAAAAATCAAACACTTGGAGGCTAAATAGCATGCTATTAAACAATGATTGGGTTACCGAAGAGATCAAAGAAGAAATAAAAGCATTCTGGAAACAAATGGCAATGAAAACTCAACAATCCAAAATCTATGGGACACAGTGAAAGCAGTCCTGAGAGGGAAGTTCATAGCTCTACAGGCCTTCCTCAAAAAACAAGAAAAACTGGTAACAAATTATCTAACCTTGCAACTTAAAGAATTAGAAAGAGAGCAATAAGAAAAGCCCACAGTATCCAGAAGGAAGGAAATAATAAAGATCAGAGCAGAAATAAACGACATAGAGACCAAAAAAAAAACCACCAAAAACACAACAATACAAAAGATCAATGAAACTAAGAGCTTGTTCTTTGAAAGGATAAACAAGATTGATGAACCTCTCGCCAGGCTCACCAAGAAACAAAGAGAGAGAACCCAAATAAACAAAACCACAAGTGAAAGAGGTGAAATAACAACTGACTCTACTGATATACAAAGGATTGTAAAAAAAAAAATACTACGAACAACTGTACTCCAAAAATCTGGACAACCCCGACGAAATGAACACATTCATAGAAAAATACAAGCTTCCAAAACTCAATCAGGAAGAATGAAAAAACCTGAATAGGCTGATAACTACTGATGAAATTGAAACAGTAATCAAAAAGCTTCCAGCAAACAAAAGCCCTGGACCAGATGGCTTCACAGGGGAGTTTTACCAAACATTCAAAGAAGAACTAAAACCAATCCTTCT